TCTGCAAAGGCCCAGTCCTCCTGGGAAACAAGCCCAGCTGTAGCCCACTCTACCTCTTTGCATCCTACTTGTTTTTGAAAGGAAGGATGTGTGCTGGGAAGTAGAAGTCACACTGGATCTGGCTGTCATCCCCATCCTCTGTCGTCTGAGGAGAGAACAGTGGTCCTGACCTGTTTTCTAAGGAGGACTGGGGGACACTCATGCACAGCCCCCAGCACTGCACTACTTCTCTGTGTGGACACTTCACTTGCCAACTCGGAGTGACCGTATTTTTGTAAGATATCCACTGCTGCCTCATAGTATAGTGGGCCACTTTGTACTTACTGGGAACATGTTTTTCAGGGTACGTTAATGCAGACTCACTCAATCTCTGCTAATGCTCCCCATTATTGTCCCTTTAGCCTGGACAGAGAAGATGTGCAAGATCTCCCAATAAAGCATATGCACTAGAGTGCACACACAAGTCTTTACTGCAGAGTAGCCAAAGATAAGACAGTAGAGCTTCATAGCCCTCCTGGGTAGCATGATTGATTCTCTCCTCCCCAGGTTTATTTCTTAATAGATATTTTCAAGACACAGTGGTGGAAGTGGCTGATGCTTCTGGATAATGAAGGGTTGTGAAAATCCTTGGTTTGGCCTCATTGGTTTAGGAAGACAAGCCTCTTAGACAGAATGATTTTAAGGTTGAGAGCAAAGTTAAGAACAGGGAAAAGCAAAATTAGCTGTTTTAAAACAGTGCCAGCAAAATGTAAGCTTTTGCTTCTTACTTTCCTGAAACAATTTTTGAGGTTACTAGGGCAAAACCACTTCAATCATTTATTCGACTGGGAGGTCAATGTTCCTTTGAATAACAAATGGGTGTGGTGAACCTTTACTTCTCTCCCCTTGGACCCAGCTGCCTAAACATTGCCAAAAAAAGCATGAACACAGGACAGATATGGCCTTGGCAGGAACACGGGAAAGGCAGACACACGCTCTGGGCAAAATCTTTCTTTAGAGGAAGCCATGTGAAAGCACAAACACATGTAGGAAGTCACAAGTGTGACTGGGAGCAGAACTGGGTCCCACACTTGCAAAGTTGCCTAAACTGCTTTTTCTGTGAAGCCTAGCAATTATCTGGGCTTCCCCATGGCTCTTACTCTGTCATTTAGCAGAGCAAGTAATGCACTTCAGAGATGTAGCTCCTGCCTGGAGGTGGTGTGGCCACAGCCTACTTCTTCCAATTCGGGGGGTACCAGGAAATCTACAGGGAGCATCTTGCTAATGGGGGTTCAGGTTATGGTGTTGGTGATGGGGTGGTTGTTGGTGTTTATTTTTTTTCAGTTGAAGCAAAAAGAAACCAGATAAAATGTTTCAGTATTGATATCAAACCATTTCTTATCATGAAATATGTGGGTTCTAGTTTTGGTGGATAAGCTAACATACAGTTTTGTAAATGGAAGTTTTCAGTGTGGAAATAGGTGGAGATGCTTTAGGCAGCAACAGAGCTAAGCTGGATTTTAGATACTGCACAGAGATTATATAAAACCAAAATACTTGGTCAGGTTTTCTAATACTTGAATTGGAGATTCTGCCTTAGATTGAATGATCTGCACTGGCATGTGTGTGTATGAAGCACTCAACATTCTCTTAGGCAGAAAACACACCTTGAAAATATAAAGTTGAACTTTATATTTGTGCTTTACCATAATTGAAAGAAACACCAAAGCATCAAAGCACTACTGTGGCCTGTGGAGGGTCAGACCGGGAGTGTTCCTCTAATTATGAAAGACCAGCAGAACATGACGTTCTGATGTGTGAAATGATGTAGTACATCGTGATGGTTTGGCAGAGTTGGTACAGCTTAAGTCTCGCTAGAGAGGTACTGCTGTGAGAAGTGTTCTGCCATGACTTGTCAGCAGCAGAGGTAACAGCAGTGAATTCTGACGCCAGAGGGGTGTTACTTGTTAAGCTTCCCTAAATTCTATGATTCTATGATCCATTCTATGATTCCATGAAATCAGGAGTCAGCAAAATTGGGGCTATCTGACAGGTTTCACGAGTAGGATGTGGATGGGTAAAGCTTCACAACGTGAGGTGAAAAATCAATTGGTAACAAGGAAATTTCTTGCAGCAGGGGATGGCTCAGGTGCAAAATGTTCCCCCAGAACAGTACTACGGCTCTGTCCATGCTTCCTGGCATATTTCACAAATTTTACCTTGGTAAAACACAGCATCAATCTGTTGGAGTTCTGAGAACTGTATCATGGGTGACCAAGGGGAAACAAACTGACCTTGGCAACAAATGCACCCAGGATGGCTGATACCGTGAACTGGGGAGCGTGACTTGAAGGTGGAATGGACTGCTACCTGTGAAGTCTGCCCCGCTCCCGCCGGCCAAAACCTTCTCAGGTGGGGATTGATGAGTGTTTTGAATTCCTCTCTACACCCTGATAAGGGATGATTTGCCTAGCTAACATTATGTGCAAGGGCTCATTTCTATAAAAGCAGATGTAGTGCTCTACCCCTGTGTTTTCGCAAGTACAGAGATAGAATTGATCCTTTACAAAAGGCAGTCCCTAATGTCATGAATCCCGTTTAAAAACAAACAACTTTTTTAAAGAAGCTTTTCATAGGCTGCTGCATAAGCATTGCTTTGCTTTTGCATTTGGCAGTGTCTCGCTAATCTATCTTAGTGTCTATTTTCTGGATGATGTTTGTTAGACAGTAAGCTTTATTTTATTTTTAAAAGGAAAAAGTTTAAAGGAGAGTTCAGAGGAGAAACCCTTGAAAATCATTCATTTTATGTACAGTTTCCACTTAAGTCTGACAAATCTATTTGTAGCCTGTGTGATAGAGATGTGGATTCCTCAGATCTCAGCTGGAGTATAGTGCAATACACCTCAGTGAATAGCCTACAGACTAGTAGTTTAGCGGAGGTTTTTTTTTTTCTGTAAAAATCTGAAGCCCTCTAAAGACCCTTAAATCTGAGCACCAGTGAAATGTTTTTGTCAGTCTGTGCAAAGAAAGAAGCTGTTGTTAGTCAGCTGCATGCTCTGACAGCTGTGAGTAGAGATAGTGCAGAGTCACGCTGGAAATCTGTAGGTAAGCTTTTTACTTGGACAATTAACTAATCTGAATGATACTGCTTGAAATAAATCAGGAAGAAAATATAAGAGAATCGTATAAATTTGTAGGTCAAAGGCTGGCTGCCAGGCCGAGTGCAGATTGCACAATTACTTCCTCTTCTGGAAAGCTTGTGCAGATAAAGTGTTCAGCTGAATTATTTGTTTCCAGACAAGGTACACGAGGAGAAACAGTAACACTGGTATCTATTCCATGTGATGTGTTTGTTGGAATATCTATAAAGAAGCAGCCCCCAAATTGCTGTATTCAATGGTCTTCTTGTACAAGCCAATAAAGGACACTGGGTTATTGTTGTATGTGAACGTTTTCCTGTAAGTAATTGTACTGTATGCAAAAATATGACAGAGCTTGTGGTTTTGGAAAGACATCCTGGCTTTATTTACAGAAGTAATAGAATTTGGAAAACTAGACTCTCTAGTGGGAAATGGAGAGGATCTCCTCTTGTACATAGACAACTATTTTTCTGCAGGCTTGCACAAATAAGAACTATCCCTGATTTTACTGCTTATAAAGCCTGCAAAACCATTATATTTTTTCCTCTTGTATCTATGCTATGAGCAACTATGGTCTCAAACATCTTTGTTCTAAAATGTTTGACATGCAACACTGCAATACATTGAAAATACTTTTGAAAAACCTAGTAACATGACAGTGTGAAGTCACCTAACTGAACAAATGCCTTAGTTTCTCTGGAAGCTTAATTTTTCCTTGACTGATATGGATACGTTTGTTACCAGCAATTAAATATCTGGATAATGCATATAAAAGCCTTTGCTTCTGTCAAAAAAAAATCAGTATGAGTTATTTGAGAGTTCTGTGCAAATGCCACCATGGATAAAAGCCCAGACGAGTTGAAAGAGAACTTAGAAAACCAAGTATTTACTGAGTCAGATTTTCAGAGAAATCACTGCTAGCTAAATTTAAAGCCAAAACAATGGCTTCATATTTATTAAAACAATTTATTCTGGTGAAATTAAAGTAGATTATAAAGTATCTTACTTTGACGTGGGTTGTGAGAGAATAGAATTCCTTTTCATGAACTGTGGTGTTTTTTTTATATCACATGGTTGAAAGTACACATTTTAACAGGCTATCAGCTGTCTGCTTGATTCCCTGGAGATAGTCATTCCAAAATAGATGGCCTCAGAGATAAAAATATGCAGTATTTACTACTTGAACTGAATGCTTTGGCACAAATTTATTTGATTTGTTAAGGGCACTTTAAATTTAGCAAGCTTGATCAATTATTCCACTGATTGAGTAAGACACCTTGGATTAAAATCCTGGTATGTTGTAAGTTTTACAGGAAGCAGTCTGACTCATTGTACAGCTACTGTGCAGCAGGTTTATAAGCCTTTTTCTCACTGAAGAAAAAAATATAAACTGAAGTCTACATTTTAAGATCCACTATATAATATAAAAAGGTGAAAGTAAAACCACAAAATGTCCAAAGTAGGATGAAAGTCATCACATTTTCTTGCCCTTTTGTGGCCAAAAAGATCACTAGATTTAGAACAAGCGCGCAGTGCTATTCTATCACTTTTGTTCCCACCTGTAATTATAACTGGCAGTTTTTCTTTAAAATACAGAGTAAAACCCCAGTTCTGCCACAGGAAGCACTGCATTTTATGAAGCCTCAGGTTTTAATTTGTGCCAAGGGTTAAAATTGAAGGTATTTGCTCAATGCAGGACTCATGCCATGCATAGCTCCTCTAAGCCTTCTTTTGCTGTGGTGACGTCACCAGCTGAACATCCCTCGCTCATTCACAGGCGGGAAGGGGAGTATTTCTGCTGACTCATGCTTATAAGACTTTTCCTTGCTCCGCCTCCATTCATTTCAGCTCCTCCTCTCCCCTCTTAGTGCTGGGAGCCTACTATATTTAAACAGCTGTCCTAGAGCAGAGGCAGGAGTCGAGTTTTGTGCTTTGGTTGGCTTTGCTGGCTGTACAGTCATTTTCCTAAAGCTCACACTTCTCATCGGACCTGCTGCTAAAGGTAGGGAGGCTACAAGTACACGTTGAGAGCTCTGGCACGCTGTAACATTGCTGTCTGAATATTGCACAGCTGGGGTCATTTTTTTATGTACCATAAAGGTGAATATTTTTTGACATACTTTAATTGTGTTCATAGGGTCACTGGCCTGGCATGTAGGAGTGATAGTGCACCTGTGCATGGGGGGAACAAGCTTCTAAAACTTGTAGGCAAGTATAAAATGTAAAAGCTATTGAGATTTGTTTTTTAAAAGCAGCAATGAATTAAATTTTAAAAAATGCTGGTGAAGTGAATGAGTTGATGAAGTAAGGAAGCTGAAGAAAACTGTTGCTTTTGTATGAGCATTGCTCTTGTGGAAACCCGAGTGTCATGGTAGCTCTTTCAGACTCTTCCGTTATTTATATGCACTGACTGCCCTGCTCTCTTGAACTCTCCCCGTGTGCTGCACAGGCTGCACCTGGTGGCCCTCACCCGAGCAAAGGTCTCATTGATATTACAGGGAGAGCTACTCGCCTGTGGCCGATGTAACTTGGCTTTTCATTTCTGCTAAAGACCATTTAGTGTCAATGCCTTGCTAAATGCACCTTTGCTGCTTCTTTTACTTAAAACCTGTTTCAGTTGTGCAGCCTGGAACTCCTGGGGGCCGCACTGACCAGCTCTGTGTGAATGATAGTCCCTCCAGGCTGGAGGCTGTGTCAGGAAGGTATGCGGAGTTTGGCCTGGAATGAGCTGGGTGCTTTTCCAAGCCAGAACAATTATGTAAGGTCACACAGACACTGAAATGCTTTGGAAGCAGCGAGGAGATAAATTGTGGAGCCAAATGAGGAGGAGGAAAGAGACATCCATTTAAAGTAGGAAGCCTGAAGCAGGAGCCAGAACAGGGATCAGTGTCACTGAGTTGACCGAGTGTGGGTGCCCGGCAGCCTAGTCTGTGTAAAAGGAGGGTGAGAAGAGCAGTCTTGGGTTTCTTGCTAGCTCGGGCTTTCTCTTGCTGCTTACTAGTTCTGCATAGATTTGAAATAGACTTCAGTGTCCTGTGTGCTTTCCAATAGCTTCTGCTAGAACAGGCTTTCATCTGCTACACTGTGTTAGTTGTACAGGTTACCAAGGTATATGTGGTCCCTTGATTCTAAGATTGGGGGAAAAAAAAAAAAAGTTAAAGTAATCCACCTTTACTTATAGCAGCAGGAAAAGTGATTGTTTGGCCTGAAAGAAATGCCTGAGATATTCTGAGTTTTACCCCCAAAGTCAAACATTTAGCCTATGGGGTGGGAATATCACAACCTGGTTCATTTTCTACTAAAAAAACTATTAATTAGAAATTATAGAGATGGCAGCTATAAGATGTGGAATGGACTTTCCCCATTAGAAGAGACATGCGAGGACAAACAGAAGCATCTCTGATGGTTAATCTTGATAGAATTGTCCAGTGTTAAAACTTCAGGAAACAAAGCGTGTAGCACTAGAGTGATCATTCTGGGCTTTTGTGAACCCGATCCTGAATAAAACCATGGCTAAGAATGGCCACATACATGCATGGATCTGGTAGTTCCATCAGAATAACAATTGTGTTTCTCTAGCCATTAGGGTTTACATTAGCTCCAGCAAATGCTTCTTTTTCACGTGTCAGAAGGTACAGAATGGAGGAGGAGTGTGAAATGAGGACAGCGTTATCACTGAGCCCGTGGCTGCCGGCTTTGCTCTCTATCAGGGTGGGGTAGGGTGGCTAGTGCAAGGGCCAGGAGCCAAGGCAACCTTTCTCTGGTGCAAACAGGCCTGCCAGGCTGACTTCTACTGTCTTGTGCCTTTTTTGTCCCCTTCAGCCTCCCCCAGAAAAAATGCTGGCACACAATGGCATGACTTTGCTCCCAGGTCTTACAAATGGGCTCACAGGCTCGTTATGTGTATGTGGGTTTTGCTGCTCTCCTCGAACTGTTGCCATGTGCTGTACTGGGTTGGTTCAGCAGTCCTTGCTTCCAGGAAAAATCCCATGTTCCTGGGTTACCACTGTCTACAGAGTGCATACAGTCTCTGTGAATGCTGCTGCAGGCTGCTATGGAGCAGAAACCTGGAAAATCACTTCCAGAAATCTTGCTTCCTCTTCCAGACTCCCAATAGTTGCATAGAAACAAGATGTGCACTCTGTGTTAGGAAAAACTAATGAGAACTTGTTGTCCTGTGTAGTACAGCCATGGAGAAGGATTTCTTTATTATCACGGCAGAAGAAACTGCTGCTAACCTTCAGACAGGTGCTGTGGTTTAGCTGGTTTGAGGGAATACCTTACTGGTCACATCAGCGCTTGTTCCTTTGGTGTCTCTGGCCATCTCAGGTGCTAGTGCTGAATTCTACCGATTGCAGCTCTGGAGCTTTGTGGTGGGGAATTATTTGGGGGTGAATTTCCTCAACAATCTGCTGAAGGCGGTGCAGGTTTTGGTTCATGTGGCAGAACCTACGACATTTCACAGCCCTTAGGCTGTGCCCCTGCAGCTAGCAGGGGTGGGTTTAATATGCCTTAAGGGGTTGGTGCATGCCTCAGTATAGACACAACAAGTGTTCATCTTCTGTAGTGTGTGCATCTACCTTTGAAGTGAGCCAGATTTCAAGGAAACTTTCAAGGTTCCCAGTTTAATTGAGATTCAAAGGTAGATGCTTGAAATTATTTGAATTAGAAAGCATGACCATTATGTCTTTTTATTGGTTCTTGCCTGGTCAGGCAAAATGCACGAAAGTCTTAGGCTACTGCTTAGTTAAGTGGTAACAGGTGACCAGTAAGTGTTACTACACTGTGGTCTAAAAATTTGGACAAAGCTGCTAGTTTTGAATTCAACTTGTAAGTCTTATTATGTACCTCTCTGCTTAGATGAACTCAGTCTTCTTGGAATAGCTCCGTCTAGCCCAGCAGTGGCTGTGTATTGGTGAATGTGAGAATTGTCACATTCTTGCAGGAAAATGCACTTAAAAGATTCCTCTAGAAGCCTGGAATTCTGCAAATCCTAAAATCACCTGTGTTTTTCTCTCTGCTCATTCAATCTCCAGGGGCTTACTGCGTTACTGTAGTTGCTGGTGATGTAAATGTCAGGCTTAAAGTGGAGCATTACATTTGTAGGATGGCATTTGCTGCAATACCTGTGTCAAAGGCAGTGATGTGCCAGACCTTATGGAAGTGGCAGTGCACTCGCCAAAGATCTTTCTGCACTTGACTAGAGTGTGGAGAGCGTGCCCTACTAAAAGAAGACATGCCATTCAGTGCTTTTTCACTTAGCTTACCAAAATGGCAATAATGGTTTTATAAAAGACTGTATCTCTGTAGATAAAAGCTTAAAAGCTTATGCTGAATTTGAAAAATTTCATGATTATTGGGGTAAAAATATATTTTTAACTTCTTTAGATTAGTGACAGTATAGTTGAGTTCCCTGGAAAATGAAAGAAGTCAGTATTTGACAGATTAGGATTCCTGCAGGAATGGCAAATGAGCTATTCATTGAATGTCTGTGTAATAGTTCGATTAGTTTTGTAAATTCCACTGTAATGACACCTTAGTCTCCAAGATAATGATGTATATTTTGTTTAAAGACTTGTTGTTATTTACTTGTTCAAATCTAGAACTCTGTTTTCTGGAAAAGGTACAAAGAAGGCTCAGGAACTAAACTGGTACTTCTCAAAAAAAACAACCCTGTAGCAATGGGTGGTACATATTTGAAAATGCAGCTAGGAGACTTCCAGGCTTTGGGCAGAAGTCTTGAGTGAGGTTTGTTCTAATTATCAGTAAAAGCACAACTTGCTTTAAAGAGTATGAGGTGCTCATGATAATTATGACAATTTTCTGTACATTACAGGCAGAAATGAAGTTTTCATTAACAAGCTGCAACACTTCAGTTACTGTAGTCAGAGGATTGCTGAAGTTGCCAGCTTTCTGGAGGGACTGGAATACATGTGTGGAAGAAAGATAAGGGTTCTCTCTTTGGGTTTTTTTTGATGGAGTATAATCACGGAATCATGCTTTGGCTCTGGGGGCAAGAGGAGGAAAAGATCAGTAGGCCTGTCCCAAGTGGAGAAGTGTAACGTGATGGTCTGCAATGGCAGGATAATACTTTAGATTAACCTGCGTTTGTAGAAAGTAATGGATTTTTTTGTCAAAAAGGCAAATAATTCAAAACTGATTTATCTTAACAGGTAGACTCCAGGACCTAAATGCTTCCAGACGGGAAGATGCATGCATTATTGACTAGACCCCACAATAAGAGTGGGTTCAAGCCACTGCCCGTTGTCATCATAGGTAAGTTTTCTCCTGCCAGCATTACTGTGTTCTCTCGTGCTGTTGGTACCGTTTTCAGCTTTTGTTCCATGTGTCCTTACTCAAACAAGAAGTGCCTGGCCACCGTGTCTGCATCCTTTCCCTGGCAGCCAAACTTTGTCTAGTACGAAGAGAAAGATCACTAAGAGTTGCAGGAAGTAGGGAACCAGGTATTTGACAAACTGGGACGCATACCTCTATTTCTTTTTTTTTCTTTTATTTTTTTAAATAGTAATGTTGATAACCTTTTGGGCATCAGTTCAGCTGGGCCTGTTTTTTCTCTGGATATTTAGAAGGGTTTGAAATCTTTTCACTATAGATAATAATTTCACAGTGAGTTGACTATCTGCAGTGCTTGAATTCGAGGTGGGTTTGTGTGATCTTTCCCCCATCCCCCCATTATGCGTGTTTAAAAAGTGCTCCAGATGCTGTTAAAGTTTCTTGAAATATTTCACAGAATTCTTTTAAAATGCAAGTCAGCTACACTGATTTTGCGCAGATTTAATAGAATCGTAAAATGCTGTGGTATTTCTGCCAGTTCAGAAAGCAGGTTATGTAGTAACTGTTGTGTCTCCCTTTTAAGAGGGGAGCTTTGTGATGCGAAGTGATTTTTGGAGCAAAACACAAGTCGTGAGGTCGGCGCCTTCCCCTCCATGACCCATTGTGAGCCATGCTCCAGTGCAGGTGCTGGACCCTGTTCATCTGAGCATGTGTTTAAATGCCGCACAGAGCTGGGTTCCTTCCTTATCTGCCATCTAATTCATAGCCCCCGAGAGAGCTAGTCCAAAGTTAGTGCACTGCATAAATCACACTTCGTCCTTGCTAGCAGTGAGTTCGACAAGGACACTGCTACCAGCAGTGTCTAGTATGAGGGTGACTTTCCACTGCCCAGTTGTACGAGTCTTGAGGTGGGAGGGAGGATATTTTTGGACATCCGTAGTGCAATTCTACAGGGATCCAGTGTGGAGATGTCGTTAAAGCCTGGGAAGCGCCGGTGTGAAGATGTGAGCTGTGAAGAGGCTGTTGGATTGAAGTGGCTGGCTCAGCTGTTTCAGTGCAGCTGGATGTCACACACAAGGTTCCAGCTGCTTCCCCAGGCCCTGCTGCAGGGAGGCTGTGGGCTCCCCAGCAGCCTCAGGAAAGCAGTTGCCTTTGAGAATAGTTTGAGCCCCAGAGGCAGCTGTACTTGTGACCATCCATATCAAATGGAAATGTGGCTCAGAGTAAATCCTCAGTGTGTGTTGCTAAGTGTTGTGCACTAAGTTTGGCTTGTACTTGCTAAAGCAAAGTAGTAAGCTGAAGAGTGTTATATTTTACTGTAGCTTAGTTTGCTTTTAATTTCTGTTGCTTTTGGATAAGTTTCCTGCAAGTGGAATATTCCAGATACCGAGCTGAAGCTGTCCTTGCTCAGCACAGCAGACTTTGACCCCAGCTGTGGCAAGTGCTGCCCTTCACATTGCTCAGCTCACTCTTAGCTCTGCAGCCCCAGCCTCCCTCTGCCAAATCCCCGAGGAGCAGCCTTTGCTGCAGTCGCTCACGCGTGTGGCACGGGCACTGTGTCAACACAGGCTGCTGTGTCACTTCAGCTCTCCACCCCTGCATCGTCACTGCGCTGTGTGATGGGGGTTAGTCACATTCTGGTGAGCAGCAGAGCCTGAGCAGACAGAGAAGCTGACACCGTTATGCGGACACTGTGAAACATTAAACATGCTGGACAACAGCCATGTGAAAACTTTCCACGGCCTGCTCTCACTGGGCTTTGAGTCACATATATCAAGTTTTTTTTCCAGTGGCTGGCGGGTCATCAGCAGGAGGAGTTTAGTCATCCAGCAGTCTGTTTGAAGTGCTATGTTCTGGGGGATTGCCTTGGCATGGCAGAGACTTTTTTCCTTAACGCGGTCCCTGCAGTACCATGGTAGGGCTGGTTCCCATTTGAGGACGTTTAAAAGTGTCCTCAAGACCTGTTAGTCAAAACTGCTATTGCCAGATATCCCTTATTAGATGGGATTTCTTACTGAGCTGAGCTGTTTGCCCTTCAGTTCAATAGTCACTCTTTTTTTGTGGACTTACTCTGTATCCTGTGTGTGATGAAATACTCAGTAGTGGTGTGAAATGTGCATCCAGGAGAACTGAGGCCCCCAGTCAGTATGTGACTAGTTTCCAAACCTTTGAAGAAGTTAATGAGCAATAATTCAATTCATCAGCATGCTAGAGACTTCAGGCGATGTTATCCTCTGGCTTTAGCCCAATGTCTCTTCAGCAAGTTCTGAAGACCTTGCAATGCAAATAGGTGTAACTGGGCAGGAGAAGGGGAGACATGATGGTAAAACGATTTCCCCAACTCCATCCAATAGGTCAGTAGTCAACCTGGAATAGAAAGTCCCCTGTGTCAACAGCAGTCTCACACACTTTGAATTGGTCTGGGTATTAGAAGCACTACTCAAGGGTCTGCTCTATCTGCAGGACTATAAATTCTTCTCAATTGTGTCTTTTCTTTTAGGGAATGGACCTTCAGGAATCTGTCTTTCATATTTGCTGTCAGGCTACATCCCTTACTTCAAAAGAGACTCTCTTCATCCTCATCCCATTCTTCAGAGGAAACTTGAAGAGGCACCAGATGTCTCTATTTTGGACCAGGTTTGTGTAAAGAGAAACAGTATAACATCATAGTAAAGCATCCTAGGGGTGTACATGATAACCTCATTTGACTTCAAAGCACACAGACAGAATGAGCCTTAGGCAAAGTACTTTTAGTTGCCCAGATCTCCCTTTTATGAGATGCCAGCATTGCTGCTGTTTCTTGAGGTAGTCCTCAGGCAGTAACAGTGTCTTTGTTCCAGTGAATGAGCTTCACAGAACGCCAAAACCACTCTGGGAGTAACAAGATGTCTGCTGCCTGGCAGGACACGCATTTTGAGCATCTGATCTGTCTTCCTTTAGGATTTGGAGTATCTCTCTGAAGGCTTGGAGGGACGATCCCACAGCCCTGTGGCTCTTTTGTTTGATACCCTTCAGCGTCCAGACACAGACTTTGGTGGAACAGCAGAATCTGTCCTCACTTGGTGGCATGAGACTGACAGAGCCATCCCCCACCTGGTCCTTGGCAGAAATGCTCCTGGAGGTGCCTGGCATGTATGTGAATTGAAACCTAACTGCTTAGGTCTGCATGTTGTGATATAGCCAAATGCGTTGACTGGAGAGGCAAAAGTTCTTCTATGCCAGTCAGCCACGTTTGCTTTTATGTATACAGACAAGCAGAAGTTTAAAAAAAAAAAAAAGGCATGAGAGGCATTTATACATTTATATTTCCAGCCTGTTGTTCTTTTTGGAGAACCTAAATAGTTTAATCCATGACAGCAAATCAGAGGAAATCACTGATTTTATGATCAGTGCTGTATTGAAACATGACAAAATTGCATTTCACTTTTACATTAAATAACTGAAAGTTATTTTACTGTGTTTCTTGTTCCAGTCTATCGAGGGCTCTATGGTTACCCTGAGCAGAGGTGAATGGATGGGACTCCCGGATCTCCCATTCAAAGACTGGCTAAAGCAAAAGAGAAGGTAAGATAGCTATGGTGCAAACAGTCAGATGTTATTTGGGAACCTGGGGTAGTCTTCTTGAGTGTAGCTGCCCATCTGTTATGGGTGATTCTAGTGAAAGAAAGGACACCCTCCACGCCCCAGTACAAGTCCATTCTGCATTCAGTGATACAGGTGAAATTGCAGTGCTGCTCGGAATGTGTCCTTCTCAACACTCACTGGGGAGATGGATCACAGTGACCATGAGTTCTGCACAAAGCTGGGAAAAGGCATGGTCATCTGACTTCTGTGTCTACCGCTGCTGTCTCTAATGACAAGTACAATCATCCCAGCTGCTGTGCAGTCTATGAGGTGCTTCTGCTCTTGAGATGGGTAATCTTAAGAAGTCCAGGAGTTAAAAGTGAAATGGAAGCAAGATGCAAGAGGAAGGCATAAATGAACAACCATGTTCTTGGGGATGGGATTTTGGGATTCATGCTAGAAAAAGCTCCTCTGTCCAACAGCTTGTGGACCTGAGTATTAGCTCTAAATACCAGGAATAACTGAAGTCAGGGAAACTATATAAATCATCCCTGGTGCTGCCAGGGTAGATGGCTCTAGGATAGATTCAGTGGAAGAGGGGAGAAATTTCTGTCTCTTACTTAACTGCTGCTTGACCTTTGTTTGTACTATATTACAGAGGCCTCAGAAACAATCGAGCCACGGCAGAAGACATTGCTCAATATTATCAACACTATGTGGTGAGGAAAGGACTGCAGAAGAATTTCAGATGTGGTACTGTTGTGACCTCTGTGAGGAAAGTAAGTGCAGAGAGCGTCTCCAACCACGTACAGAAAGATCTGCAGGAGGATTGTGACTCGCTCTGGAATTTCAATGAGAAAAGTACAGAGGTCTTTCAGGTGGATGGATTCTTCAAAACTGTGAAAGGTGATAAAGAGCCCTTCTCTGTCTATGCAGAGAATGTGGTCTTAGCTACAGGAACATACGATAGTCCTACTTGGCTTGGTGTCAGGGGAGAGAACCTTTCCTATGTTCATCACCAGCTGTCTGCCCTAGAGGAAGCAGTGAAGAACAACAGCATTGGCATCATGTCAGATCCAGTCTTGATTGTAGGTGCTGGTCTGACAGCTGCTGATGCAATTCTCTTTGCTCACCATTGCAATATTCCAGTAATCCATGTTTTTCGGAGACGAGTGACTGATCCAGGTCTTATATTTAATCAGCTCCCCAAAATGATGTACCCCGAATACCACAAAGTCCATCAGATGATGAAAGAACAGTCAGCTGCTTGTGCTGGGCCCTATGAGTGTTACGTTAGCCTTCCTGAACATCATGTGCTATCCTTTGGCAAGGACAAGAAATGTATCTTTCAAGACAAGAATGGCTATCAGAAAGTCTATAAAATTTCCATGGCTCTTGTTCTAACTGGCTCAAACCCCAACCTCTCCTTTCTGCCAAATAATGGCATTGACTTGGTGATGGACAGTGGCCAACCAGTCAGTCCAAAGAGGAATCCCATAGATGTTGACCCATTCACCTATGAATGCACTCAGGAGAAAGGGCTTTATGCTCTAGGACCTCTAGCTGGAGATAACTTTGTGCGCTTTGTGCAGGGGGGGGCTCTGGCTGTTGCCAGCTCTCTGTTAAAGAAAGCAAACAAAAATCCCCCCTAACAAAACAAAATTCTTGTGCTAACTGTGTCTGGGTAACTGCTGTTTTCTTAAAAAGGAAGCCATCGAATTGTACAGCCTCAAATGCGAAGCCCACTCCTGGTATCCTCCAAGGTTACGCAGAGACTTACTAAGTTCTTGGAGAGTTATTTGGGAAGATGAAGTCACCAAATACAGAGTGGGTTTCCCACACAGCAGTACCTTCAGTCCCTGGGGATTCAGCTCCTCTCCTGCACAGCTGTGTATAAAGGCTGCAAGAGCTTTGGGTCTTGTGCCTGGAAAAGTAGGGGGCAAGGTAGTGATTGCTCTGCTGTGCAACACCTTCCAGGTTGCTGGAAACTGAATTGGGGAACAATCAATGTTAATTATTTCCAGGCAGCAGGCTGACAACCCTGTGTCTTACAGTGTTTTTTCATGAAACAAAGCCAGCCAAGATGGTTTTATTTGCTTCCGTGGCTTGGCTGTATGTTCTTATTAGATCAGAAATCACTGAAAGATGTTGCAGGTACCTCTGGCCCATGAAGTGCTTACTCTGCAAATAAAAGCTGACATAAAAACAGTCAAAACTATTGTCTCACTGACTCCAGCAACAAGTAATATGCAATATCCTTTTAAACAAGAGATTCCTGTGATGTGTTTTTTCTCCTTATTGAGAAGGAATGGTACTGATTTCCAAATACTTGGTTTGCCATCTTGCAGCTTTCTGCTTTCTAAATCCTAAAACTGCAATAGCCAAATTCTTGGCAGCTGCTGTAGAGACAGCAGAACTAAAGGGGAGCTACTGGTCTGTCTTGTAACTCTCCAGGCACTGTATCGGGCTTCTGCTGCACAGGATTTCAGGAAGATGCAATATGTTGTACATTGTGTGAATGTCTAATGTAATGTGGTTATTTTTTTTTAAGAATACTATTTCTGTAAAGGGGAAATTGGCACAGTCACTTTTTGATAGTTTTATGTTATATATATATATAGCAGTTTTTTAATACTAGTTTTCTAAAAGATTTTTATTGGCAAAATATTTTGTTACAGGCTTTCAGTCAGTGCTTTGTATGAGCTGGGGTGGGTGGGAGCAATGCCTTATGTTGCAAACAGCATTCTCAACAGACCTCCAGGGCCTTTCACAGGGAAAATTCAGAGTCCTAGCTAATCTTATTTGATGTAAAGACAGACTCTGCTCCCCGTGCTGTGCTGAAACTTGCTGACATGGTAAAAAGTTGCGCGTGGCTCTGGAAAGCTGTGGAGACAGTGGCTGTTTGTACATGAATCGGCCTGAAGCGGAGGTGTGTAAGGAGCTTGTCTGGGGTGTTGCTGTATGATACTTGAATGTTTTTGCTACTAACTATTGTATGAAATCTTTCAATAAAGTGATTTCAGACTTAGCCTGTGCTTGTTTTTTAACTCTGAATCTCTGACCCAGAGAAGATCTAATGAACTGTTCATCAGCTCCCTGGCAAGCACCAGGGTGTGGGTTGTGCCTGCCAAATCCAGCATCTTTCCCCTCCTGAGGAGCATTCCTCTCTGGATTTGCTTTCTGTGTATCTTCCTTTCTCCAGCAGGATGGAGAACCCAAAGTAGCTTTGGCAGCAGCTTTGGCAGTAGCCATCTCTTCTGTGAGGCTAAAACACAACAGCAAACCAAGCTCTTTGCCAAGCATGTTCTTGTGTAGGGCTTCTTTGATCTTTTTCCTGCTACCTACTGTCTTCTCCTGTCAAAAAACCCCAAATCGGGGCCTAGTCCCGTAAATCAGTAAGACAGTTTAGATCGGAAGGGACAATTGAAGGTCTCTAGTGTAACCCCACTAAAAGCTTTGGAGTTAGACCTGGTTACTCAGTGCCTTATCAGGGAAAGCTTTGAGTATCTCCCAGGATGGAGATGGCACTATCAATGTTTGATTGCCCCAGTCAGCATTTGATCCCCTTGGTTGAGAATTGTGGGCCATTTTCTTTGCAAGTCAAAGTGTCCCTTCAGTGATACAGTTTGTTTATTGGATCTTGGAGTGTGGTGTTGGTTTTTTTTCTCATTGGACAGCTCTGAGGTGACAGTTATTCTCCTGTGTCTGTTATCCTGGCAATATGGGGATTCATGAGTATGGATAATACAAGATGGCACAGAACCCTGTGGTTTTGGTACTCCCCAGGAGAGATGAGCTGGTTCTCTGTTAACCTGCCTTGTGCTCCCCTAGAGCAGGTCCCAAGCAGTGCAGGATTGTGCTCTTCCTTGCCTGCAGCTGAACTTTGCTAGAAAAAAAATCAGTGACCACCTTTCTAAAAATACCATTTTTGGCCAGGTCTCAAATTCCTGCATCAAAAGTAAATGAAGTGGAGAACAAAAGCCAAAGGGCAGCTTAAAAAAGCTCAAGGGGCATCGGAGTGTGCTGGGAATAAGGGTGTAGGGTTGGTGTCCAGTGAAATGCTGCTCTTCCCATCACTGCGGTCAAGGTCACAGCATTTGTGCTGATCGTTCCCATATCCCATATTACGTTACGATGATCTAATTTGCCCTGTGCCGAGGAGCTCCTAACTAGGGCAGCAGCCTGTGCCTGCATCGGGGGAGCTTGGGTGACCGCGTTTTAAATAGCTGGCTTTCTCGCCCAAGATGGATGAGCTGATTGCCTGCCCTGTGTAGAACCGGAAAGGGAAGTGGTTTTTCACAGCTGACGCTTAGACAATATCCTATATTCTGCCCGCGAGGGATTTTGAAGCAGAGGATCTCAATAGCAGAGGTAGTGGTTTGCTCATCAACAATGACAAGTCCTCAGGGCAAGGCTGTGCAGGGCTAATCCAAGTTGTCATTTAGCTCTCCGTATCCAGGGAGACAAATATGGATTATTGTTCCAAAACATCAGCCATGAGAGTCAACAGATACCAGTTTTGTTACGTATGGGATTCACCCCTGCATTATTACCTTGACCTACAGCATGTGACAGGACCAGGAAAAAAATTAGTCTCCTCTTGAGCCTTCTGCACATCACATGCCCCTGGTGGGAATGACGCAGCTTCATCAGGCAAGACACTAAACGCTTTCACTGCCATTCCCATTGCTGCTCATGAGCCTAGCCAGACAGCTGCCTTGGCGACCTCCCTGGCTACTTAAAATTGAAGATCATTCTGCTTCATTCTGTCCCCTGCAAGTCCCATGATGTTCTCTCTGTGCTGTCCCATGGGAACCTCCTGCAACCACCATGACAGAGCAGGTCAGTCTGAGAAGCCTTGAGCAATTCCCTGCTCTCCTCAATTTGGATAGAGCAGGTTTAGTTTTGTTCAGATCCCTGGCTACTGCTGAGAGGGGATGTTCCTCACTCCACAGCAAGGGCTCCACATCAGGTACCTATTTTCTGTCCTTCAGGGCTCCTCAGCCTCCTTTGGCTTCCTCCCTGAAACTCATCAGTCCCCAGTTTGTGTCTGCAGAAGAAGCTCCCGAGACCCGCTGGCACTTGCCCGGAGCAGGGGAAAACTGTGCACACAGAACACAAAAAAGGATTTGAAGTTTACCAACAAGACAAAAAAAAAAAAAAGAGAGAATTGTGGGGAAATTTTTTTTTTATTTTCTTGTGTGCTAGTGAGTCCTTGCAGTCAAGGCTGTCGTGTTTTAAATAAATATGCTTCGGGTGTGGCAGAACTGACTCTACAAGCCTAAACTCGGGTACCTGTTCTTATGCAATTACTGTACAAACTTACTGCTTCTACTTTTTGTGCTGGTGAAGGACTTATAAGACGTCAGAGCATGTTCCTTGTGAGCTTTCTTTTCTTAAAGGAAGGGAAGGGTACCTTCTTTTTAAAAAGGAGCCACCTTTTACATGTCATCTGGATTGAAAGTATTTCAGTGAAGCGGTCTTGGAAACCCCTTTGGTTGTTCAGCAGTCACTTTTTTTGGCCACACTTCTGTCTTTGAGCACAGGACTAGCCATGTCTTGGCCAAACCACTCTATTTAAAGGGTCTACAGAGCATTACGATGAACTGCAAGTCTGATGATGGTGTAAACCTTAGCTTTATTGGGGCCCCTAGGGAGCTGTCAGGCTATTACGAACTGCAGCGACTCAAATTAACCTGCTTTACTTGTGAATTAGAGATATTTGTGGGCAAGCGAGCAGCCAGTACATCTCTGCGAGCTGGCAGCTCCTGAGGCTGTGCTGTTGCTCGGGGGGCACTTGGGAGGGGGACGATGCAGGGAATGTCTTCTAGCAGAAGGGGTTTCAAGTTGGCACCAAGCCTGGTGGCTCCAGGGAAAAACATCTGACTTCCAGGGCTCTGGAGAAAGTGGTGAGGGTCGAAGTAAGCTCCTGGCTAGAGAGTACTCAGTGGGGAGTGAGAAAAGGGAGCACAAATGTTGTTGCTGTTGTTGGCTGAATTCTCCCAGAGCCTGGAAAGCTGCAGGGATCCACTGCCCAGGAAAAACTTTCTTTGCCATCCCTGGGGACCAAGCCCCAAGGACCAGGGCAAAACCTGGATCCTCTGCTGTGCAGCATGGAGAGAGAGAGATTGTGCTCCAGCGCGGCAAGGAAAACATCTCCCAGCATTTCTGTCCTCGGCTGTATCACCATGCCCTTCTGCTCTGTATGGGCTCCCATGCACAGCTTGGCTCAGAGAAGCAGGACCTACTAATATGTTGATTTATGGGACTCCGTCTGAGGCTGCACAGAGCAGGCTGCTCCCATGAACTTCCTTCCATGTGAAGGAAGCAGGATGGATTTTGTTTTCCAGCCCAATTTTTGCTGCTTGCATTCATTTCTTGGAAACGCTGTTGAAGGTTCTGCCTGATTTTATGGCTCTGCTGCAGCAAGCTGGAAATGAGGAGAAGGAGGGGGATCCCAAGCCAAGCAGCACGCATGCACGGGCAGCATGGCCCTGCTCCATAACTGGCATCACCACCAGCTGGGAAACCCTGTTTGGAAGGTGAAAGCACTATTTATTTAAGGTATTTACCCCACAGGTGAATTTCTACATCCCGGTCTCGCTGGAAGCAAAGAGGCTGGTGAAATAACCGCAGAAACCACCTTTATGAACTGCGGACACAGCTGGAAAGTGCTGTGGTCCCTGCGGCGGGCAACCGAGCCAGGGCGTTAGATTTCAGCCCAGCTATCTCTGGGGGTAAACAGAGCTGGTTTGGCCACGGCGCCAGATCGGGGCGGGTCAGAGGGGGTTTGCAGGGTGAAATAGGGGCTGACTGCAGGATGGGAACAAAGAGGCAGCTCAACAGAGGTTGTGAGTGTGTAAAGTTACTGCTGATGACTAGTGCAGATTTTGGGGATATTATGTTGGGTAAGTCTCCAAATTTCAGTTGCGCTTTTATAAGCCCACTGAACCTTTTGCCGGGAGGCAAAGCTTAACCAGATGACAAGCAAAGGGCAGGATGAAATCATTCCTTTAATGACAGAGAAATAGAAAACCAGGAGAGCTGGGCTTTTTTTTATGAGACCACTGACAGAGTTTCAGGCCTAAGACATTCATTTCTTTTGAGAGCTGGCCCAGCAGAGCAAATCTCATTGCAACTTGGCATTAATACCCAAGTAATCCAGTATTACCGTAACTCCGAGTCAGCAGAGGTCTCAGAGGCATAGATAGCTTTCAAAGCCAATAAACTGACCAACAGATCTTTCAACTAAAAAAGCCAGGGAATTTGTATGTTAGAAAAAAATTCCTTGGTGCTTTTCTGGGGTAATAAATAGACTTTTCAGTTTAAACATTAAGATCTAGCAAAACCAAACAAATGGCAAAGCGGTGGGATGCTGAATGTCCCAGGGGCCGCAGTGCCGGGAGCATTGCGGGCTGCACCAGGTTCAGGCATCCTGCTTGGGGACCAAAAGGGACACAGGGGCTGCACGGCCTCCGCCAGCTGGGAGGAAAGACGTACATGTGATGGGCATCATGACATGGAGGGGGTGAGAGGTTTGTCTTCCAAAGCTGGAGTGGTGGCTGCAAAAAAGATGAACAACAAGTTGCACAAAGTTAACTTGTTAGGGTTGTTTCTAAGCAGTTTGGAACTAGTGGAAAGTTTATGCCATGTGAATCCCTTGTGCTGTGCAGCTGAGGTGTTTTTATCCTTTTTTTTAAAAAAAAGTCTGTTTGCTGGGATGCCAGTACTGTTTTATCGAACCACAGCCTGGGAAAAGAAGCAGCGGCAGCAGATGCTGACATGTTGCAGCTCAGGGCTAGAGGGATTCCACAGCCAATGCTTCTGAACAGCTTTGTGGGTGGGATGTGCTGGGGGCTCCCTTCCACAAGGGCGGTGGGTGGCAGCCCTGCCTGGAACTGGAAGCCCTCCCTGGGGCAGGCGTTGGGGTCTGGGGACCGTGTGGATGGGAGAGGGTAGGCAGGGTCTGACTGTGCTCGGGGAAAATGCAAGGAAAGGAAACTGGAGATATGGGGTACCTGCAGAGATACAGTTTTCCTGGAGCTGGTTGGAAAGGACGGTGTCAGCATGGCCGGAAAGGCAACAGCCTGGCCTGGGCGCTGCAGTGGGAGCACTGATTCCACGCTCAGATGTGGCAGTCAAAGTTTTCCCTGAGCCCCTTCTGTCACCCCTTTGCCAAACTCCCATTCACAGGGGTTGCAGGACCAGCCTTCCTGTCAATGCTGCTCTTGTCACGGCATCTCTGGCAGCTGCCCAGGAAATTAAGGCCATTAATGAGCAATAAGGCACATGAGCAGTGAGAGGGAAGGGTGGAGGTTTCATATGAATGAATTCCACGTGATTCACACTCCCTGAAAAAACCTGTTTGCAAAAACATACCACGTCACCTGCACTGCACTTTCATGAAGTTTAAGGAAAGAGATTTCTCAGGAGCGTGAATAGCTGGTAGTATTTTTGCTGGCAGGAGTATAACTAAGATGGCTTAAGGCAGCATATTAAAGCAGGCAGCACACAGGCTCTGCGATATGTAGACCCCATCAAATGTGTAACAGTAAGAAGTTTCCCCCCCCTGAAAATGAAAGCTTTAAAATCCTCCCTCTGTTTTACATGGAAAGGGAAGTAACACCTTTGGAAATTTTTCATTAGAAAGAGACAGAAACCAGCTGTTCCCCAGTTCAATCCCAGTTCAATCCCAGTTCAATCAGGGATTTATGGTAGAGCCTCAGATGCAGTGCACTGACATTGTGGTGAATGCTGTAACCACTGGAATTTGGGGGTGGATTTCTGGTTCCCTTTTCAGCTAGTGCTTCTGTCTCAAGGCTGAAAGACATTTTCGGATTTGCACCAGAACTGGTTTCTTCCCCTCCATAATTCTGATTTTGGTGAACCTGTGTTTGTTAGAAGCAAAAAACATTCCCAGGCAATGCAGTGCTGGTCTGCAGCAACCACTTGTACCACCTTATAATTAAGGTGACCGTCATCCTGAAGTTGATATAAATAAGTTCACATTCCTGAAAATATAAATATTTACATAAGTATTTTTCAGGAAGATGGAGAAGCAAGTGTCTGAGAAAAAGATAAAGTTATATAAACAAATGTTATCAGTCTGATGCAACACTCCAAATACCTCATCCACTGAGTAATCTGGATACGACATAAGGGGGGAGCTGGCTGGGAGCTCGCCAAGTGAAATGTTCTCACCCTGAAACAAAAGCAAAGCAAATCAAAGGGAGGTAGAATCTCCCGTTCCCAGGCTGCCTGTCCCCTGTGACCTTCCTCGTGCTCTGTTACATCCATTTCCAACAAAAGGCTTTTTTTTGCTCCCTTCCTTTAAACAATGTAATGGATACCCCTCCGTCCATATGCTGGGAAACATCTCGCTGGAGAGGAAGCGATGCAGCTCCGCTGGAGCAGCTCCTGGTTTGCCAGCAGAGTGTGCACGGCTTTCCCAGCCTTAGGTGAAGAAAACTTTCACAGAAAGCAATCCCGCAGCTGAAACAATAAAGTCTTGCTCTGGTCAAATACCATTAAAGATGAACCATCTTCCCCCCTTTCCCCATATGAGCAGTCCCAATAGACTTTGAATACTGCACTGATAAGGGAAGCAGAAATGCAGAGGATGAAAGTGCTTGTTCTGTTAAGGGCTGAATGACTGAGTCCCAAATTCTCACCCTTTCCAAGGCTAGAAGATCCCAAAGGCCCCCACTTGGTGAAAGAAGCGTTTTCTGCATGGAAATATAATTTCCATATTCCTCCAATTCCCCAATACTCAGATTTGTCAGGATGATATTTCATGAGTTATTTACTACTTTGAAGTTCATATGACAGGGACAAAACTCATCAAGAAAGAAGGGGACTAATGATGTGTATTCAAGTAAACACAGGGAAGAGATGAATAGGAATATTGCTGTTCAGATGGGATTTTTTTTGCCACTGTCAGTAGGGGATATATTTTATTTACTTATTTATTTATTTTCTTCCCCAGTAGTGCATTACTTGTAGCTGTACATGTCCTTGCTCTTCCCCCAAAGCACCGGACCACAGAGGAAGTCTTGGTCCCCGCAGCCCAGGCTGGTCCAAGGCAGCAGATGACGGGATGGGTGCTGTGCACCCCGTAACGTGGCTCTTCCGTTGCATGATGTAGCATCGGGCTCTCTGCTGCTGGAAAGCCAGCACAGTTCAGGTTTGAGATCAGAGCACAGCTGTTCCGGCATGGACACATGGGTTGCTTGGTGTGGTTACCTCATGCCGACAGCCTTTTAAGAAATTCAGAGCAGGCTGCCTAAACAGATAACAGGAGGACCTGGCAGCCTCCCTTTCTCCATGCAGTTTTCTCAGCTCGCTTCCTCTGATTTCTCCCCAACTCCCACAAGGAATCTGGATTCTTGTGCTCAGCTGTGGTTTATGACAGTTTTGAGTTCATATCGAGTAATTCCTCTCACCATCCACCTAGATATCTCGCTTCTCCCGAGGCAGTTGATCACACCTTGAAACTGCCGTCTGTGTTTGCTTTGCTTTGCTGACAGCTCTTACAATAACAAATGAGAATTACATTCTCAATAAACAGTCCACCCCAGGAGATCTGACTGCTGGCCAAGTTCGGCTTCAAAATCCTTACCGTGGCTGTAGGCAGGCAGCCACCCCGCCGACGAGAAGGATTTGACATGCCCTAGAGATGGGCAGTGACCAGGTCAGCAAACAGGACTGCCCAGAATGGGGAGCTGAAGGAAAGCAAAGGTGTAAAAGGCCAAAGGGGACAAACCTGAAGAAAATGAACTATTTGAGGAAACTTCCTTGCATTTGGGCTACAGCAGGATCTGAAGGTGTGCAGCAGTGTGCAGGGTGCTGGCCTGCCTGGCCCTGCAGCACCGGTGGGTCTCTGGAGACTGCTTCCCCATATGGCTGCGCTGGCTCCGAGACAGAAGCCAGCAGGACATGGGCTGTGTATTTCTTGTTCTTTCAATGAGAAACGCAGCACATTTGTGGAGGAGGAGGAGTGAGATTATTACAGGGAGTTGGGAAATTATTGCTTTTTATTAAAAGCGCACATTTCCTAGGGATTCTTAAGTACCCTTCACCAGTCGCACGCGGCCCTTGGATGAAGACAGTCCCTGCTGGATTTTCAGTCCAGGAATGACACTTTGCTGTGCTTCACTGTCATGCAAAGGTGGTGTGTTCAAACTGGTCTTTGTGAGAGTCACCTGCTCCCTTCTTTTTTCCCAGTTCTTCTCTCTGTTTTCGGCTGTTATGAACCCCCTCACAGGCGAGCATCCTTGGCCGGATTTGGGAAGCGCCGTATTGTATTTTTTGCAGTCTGCTCACCCAGGGTGGGACTATTCCATGGCCAGCTTACCTCTCAGCATGTCTGCAAATGTAAAAACCTCCTGCTGCAAGCTGGTGCTTCTGTTTCAGCAAATATTAAAAGAAATCACTGTTTATTTGTTGAAGGAGAGCCCCAAATACAGCCTCCTGTATCTAATCCAGCTGTCAGAGCTGGAGGGCACTGCCCATACTTCTAGACATTCTGTGGCTGATACTGGGCCAGGCTGTTACCTAAGTGTGTGTATCATGAGCTTTGTTTCTAATGTTGGCATGTGAACTGTCACAAGCGATTGAGTGCGGGGCAGCAAGTCACCCACGGAGAGGATGAATGGTGCAAATAGCTCCATCCCCAAAAGTCATCAAGAAAACCTCCTCTTGGCAGGTGGGCTTTGAAATGTACTGGACTATTCTGTTAGCCAAAGCTTTTGGGTTTTGTTGTAAAAACAGAGAATCTAATGCTTTGCTGAAGTCTGCCAGGGTGGGTGAGCATTGGTGTCTGTGGCAGGAAGTGTAGGAGGCAGCTTTGCTGTCAGGGATGTCATAATTGCCAGCACGGAGCTTGCCAGCACGTTGGAATATGAGAAGGCCACAAGCCAGCATCACCCACATGGCCATTTTCCAAAAGCCCAGTCCTTGGAGGGACTTTCCAAAGTCCCTGGAGGGACTTTGTCCCCAGCTGATTCAGGACTGTGAAATGGGGCAAGTATAATTCCAAACAAATGCCTCCGGCACCTAGCAATAATTTATCTCCCGGTCCCTGAATTTCCTAGCAACAAGATTAGTCCCAGTAATACGCGGTCAGTGCAGCCACACCAGCCCAGCTGGCCTTGCTGGGGTGCCCGCAGGTGCCTGTGTGCTTTTCACCAGGCTTCGTGCCCTCTCCCGGTCTCTCTCCACCTCTCCCCAAGGCCACATCCCTGGTGTCTTTCAGCCTGTTGGCTCTTTGGGACCAAAACGTGCCCATCCCTCTCAGGAGCAGCTGTTCAGAGACTCACATCTCCCTGCTGCAATCAAAGCATTGATGTAATGTATGTTTGCAGTGGGACATTAAGGTGTGCCCTGTAATGCCATAAAATAAACAACCCTGGATCATCTGTTTTAACAAGTTTGAGACTAATAGCTAGAGATACTTCACAGCCATAAAGAATGTACAGCAGGACAGGAGTGCTGCACCGAGAATCTCTCTGCTGGAGGCAGAATGGTTTTCAAGTCTGTAATGAGCTTTCAGAGTCACTTGCCATAATCCTGGAGGCAAAGGTGAAGCAGTAAATCTGCGGTGACTCAGAGTGTGCACCTGGTAGAGAAACCCTCAGAAACATTACTGCAAGGCACCAGATTTATTCGGCAGACAGATGGTGAGGAACATTGAGGGAATCCCTCTAAAATTACCCAGAAATGAAGGGAACCTAAACAAGGATCTGAAACAACCCATGGGTGCATCCCATAAGCAGTGTTCCTCTGCCAGGAAAAAAACCCAGAGGTTTTTCAGGTAGTTTATCTCATTGCAATTTAAGATTTCTGTATTTCAACAGTTACAGATGCCAGCGTTATTCTACTTTTTAATATAGCCACTCTTCACAAATCTGAAGTGACACCTGGTGGGTCTGTCAGCTGGGAGCCTTGCGCCTGGTACCCAACATCCCACCTGATGCTCGCGCTTCTTGGATGCCCCTCATGAGAAATGGGCTTCTACTGTGTGAGAGTTGATGCTAAAGAACCTGGGAAAGACACCTCTCCTTTTGAGACAGATCCTGCTGCAATGAACTCAGACAATCTGGGTGGCATAGGAGAAGTTAGAATTATAGCATGGTTTCATTTAATACTTTTATTTCTGCCATTTTCATGGGGAAAGTCATGTGGTAAATAATTAGCTTCATATTATTACCAGTGTGTCTCAGTTTGCTGTCTCCTACTGAAATATATGGACCCTCAGGTACAGCTAGAAATTGGGAATGAAAGCATCATCAGAAAGACATCACAATAGGGTTTTTACCACTCAATTTGTTGTTTGCTTTGGATTTTTTTTCCATGATACTCCATAAATTACAAAGTTAGAGCTACCTGGAGATTAACTGCTACCCTGTGTCCTACTGCCTGAAATCACTAAGTAGCAGATAGAGGAAGGGTAAACCCATCCCGATACCTATCGCTTGTGCTGGAAGAGGGGTTTCTCTGGACATCTGTGCCTGGGAGCCCCCCGGAGATGCCGTTCTTGCTGTGCTGATGGCTCCACACACTGACCTAGCGGCAGGAGCGGGCAGCCCCAGCTTTGCCAGCGATGCTCAGGGCGTTCACACAGAGACAACGTGGAGATCTTCTCCATCACGATATTTTGAACATCGTATTATGCAATTATCTGGGTACAGGCTGTACAGACATGCCTTCAAGGAGGTGATTAGCTGTCTTGCCAATCCCAAAGCACTGATCTGGACTTGAACAGGGCAGCAAAGCTGTCGGGACAGGTTTTGCCAGGAACCAGTTCCAGGCTTCTGAAGTTGTGAGTAAGAGGCTAAAACTTGTGTGCATGTGCCTTGGGATGCTGCTGGTGGTGGGAAAGACAACTCTAAAAATGTCTATGCGTTTAATTAAACCTGCTTAAAATCAATATTTTATTTGGGAAATACAAGCATATTTTGCTGCAAGTTCTCATAAAAAAGAGGCTTTCGGCTCTCCCTGGGGTGCCCGTGTGCCCGTCCCCCAGCAGCACAGCTCCCTCTCCTCACTGCAGAGCCCACCCGCGCAGAGATGAACGCGTGACTGCGCTTACTCGGAGACAGGCTCATTTTTGCAGAGCAGAGGTCTTTTAAAACACAAAGGGAAGCGTCCCTACCTGCGGGGATGGGCTAGATTAAGACATTCCGAATTCATAGTTATTTCAGGCTCTCCACTGAACTGCAGGGCCCAGTGGGGCCAGTGTATCTCCAACCATCTTTTCCAAGTCCCATTAAAAGAAAAAAATACCTCTATTTTACATCGGGGCGGCTGCCTCTGGGGGGTGGGGTGGGCAGGGGTGTCTGCTGGCAGTGCCTTGGTGCGAGGGGTTTCTGACTCTCACCACAGCATGTCACAGCACTCAGCTGGGCCACTGCCATCCCGTGTCCCAGGGCTCTGCAGGGAGGTGCAAACATGCTTTGTGCCTAAAGCACTGGTACACCCATGTGTCAATCTGTGATGATCTGACCTTTTAGCCCCGTGAAATGGTTTTCAAGTCTTGGTTGCTAACTTTCCTCAACACCAGACAGCCTAGATGACCCTTAGAAAGGGCTTGTACAAGGGTTTGACAGGCCCTGCTTGTGTTGCCCAAGCAGCTTTAATGCACCAGGAGTATGTCCCCTGAAAAGTCTCTTATGCTTGAAAACCTTGCTGTCATCTTCTTCCTCAGATGCAGCATTCAGTCAGGATGCTGTGTCTGTGCCCACAAAACAGATACAGGGTTATAAAGGGGGTGCAAGTAGATGAAGACACAGATCTCACATTCTCACCAGCCTTGATGCACTACTCGTGTTACCTCATGAAGCCCAGCTGGGGAAACGGCCTCAAACTGGACTTGTCAGGGCAGCTGGGGTTCAGGCAAAGGGGCAGGGGCTGTCGAGGAGCTCCAGCTGAGGAGATGAAGCCTCAAACATGGCAGACAGCTGAAAAACATATCAGAGTGTTCTGGTTAGAGGAACCCACAACAATTTATTGCCATTTAGAGAATTATTCTCTCACTCAATGACCCCTCCCCACCCAGGACGGGGAATTGGGGAAAAGCAAAGAAACTCAAGGGTTGAGATATAAACAGATTTAATAGAATAAGACTAGATCAGAATCACAGAATCACAGAATCTTCTAGGTTGGAAGGGACCTCAAAGATCATCTTGTCCAACCGTCAACCTAACTGACAAAAATAGACACCCGCACAATAAACAAAAAGCAACACCATCACTAAACCAGACCTCCCAGCGCTACATCAACCCGTCTTTTGAACACCTCCAGGAATGGTGCCTCAACCACCTCCCTGGGCAGCCCATTCCAATGTCTGAAAACCCTTTCAGTGAAAAAATTTTTCCTAATATCCAGCCTGAACCTCCCCTGGCGTAACTTGAGGCCATTTCCTCTCGTCCTGTCGCCTGTGACTTGGGAGAAGAGACCGACCCCCACCTCTCTACTCCCTCCTTTCAGGGAGTTGTAGAGAGCAATAAGGTCTCCCCTCAGCCTCCTCTTCTCCAGGCTGAATAACCCCAGCTCCCTCAGCCTCTCCTCATAAGACTTGTGCTCCAGACCCCTCACCATCTTTGTTGCCCTAAATAATTAACATTAATAATACTAAAGAACCAATATTGATCCTGATACCTATATAAAATACATGAGGACTGTCCCCAGCCCATTCCATCAGCAGAAGCCGTGCCCTCCCCGCAGGGACAGCCAGTGTGGGACCCTGCGAGCGCTGCGGCTTCAGGAGGAAGGGAAGGGCTCAGGGCTCCGGCACCAGGGCAAGGAGTTCTCATCTGAAGAGAAC